TACTTTGAGGGGGATTAGGTTTCCCACGTTCCAATTATGCCAGTTTTTGTTTTCTTCCACCAAACGTCAGATACTTTTCTAATAGACCACACACATGGTTTCGCCATCGACGTGCCCATGTCCACAGCGAGGTACCCTAGCATGGTGAAAGACCCCGCAACATCGCCAACTATTTTGCAGGAGCGCAGAGGACACCCAGAAGGTCTTCCCGTTCACCATCACTCAACTAGTACGTGTCGCCACACTGCCAGCAGTATACTGGCCCAACTCAGGGCCGGTCCCCTACTTCACATCCAGAAAACTAAGGGCAGCAACCAAAGGAGGTGTGGTTGCTGTACGACGAAATGCCGAAGATTCTCCAACGACGACGAAACCTGCAGAACACGCCACAAGCCAAACAGAACCCTAATGTCGAAAATACATGGTCCGAGGAAGATCTGAGGATGCAGAAAGGAAACAGCGGAACAAACCGATGTAGCCATAATCCGACACTCTGATCCAACCGCGACTCAAGACGACGAACTACCGACGTTTACGTGCTTATCGGCGGTCACAGCGTCGCTGCTCTGGTTTACACTAGAGCAGATTGCTCCGTCATCAGTGGCCAGTTCCCGGCCAAGTTGAAAAAGTTAAGACAGCTTCAGAAGTATCTGAAACCCGGACAGCTGGAGGCCACCTAATAACACCAACTGGAATCTGTTAAACAAGAATAACGATTAATGGCCAGACTTAAGTGGTGAGCTTTGTGGTCCGGCAGCATTGTTCAAGAGATTTCATTCTAGGGATGGATTTTATAAATCAACACGGTACAGTGATTTACCTACGCTCCTAAACAATAATGCTTTCCATGGACAATGCCATCTCACCAAATAGGACACTTGGTCACCTTACCTTGAATGTAATAGAAGAACAGGTCACCATTCCGCCTTTCTCCAGCGTCATCATTTCCATCGGCACCAATGAACCCACAGACTTGGAAGGTGTGAGTGAAGGCAACTAGCAACTGCTTCTCAGGCATGAGATCTTCGTCGCAAGAGGCTGAGCCCAGCTGAGGGATGGCAAAGCGAGGTGATGCTGACAAACTTCAGTCACAAATATAACCACCTCAACATTAATACAACGGTTGCCAGACAGATGAATCCATAGACGCTAGCAATGCTTTCACCCTCTTCAATGCTGCCAAAGCTGCTTCAACGAATCGAGGTCCCCAACCAGATTTCAAAGTCAGACCGGGCCTTCTGAAGGGCGAGCAGACCATGCCTCTGCGATTGAAGGACTGTTTCTCGTCATCATAGAGAATTTGACAAATCCCAGTCGTGAAACCGCATCATAACAGAAAAAGTGTCCAACCAGTTCGACAAAGCCCGTACTGAATTTCGACAGTGGAACGCGAGGCCATGAAGGAACAAGTAGACGAAATGCTACGTGACGACATCTTTCAGCCGTCCAAGAGTCCGTGGGTGTCACCCATGGTATTAGTGCAGATGAAGAACGGAACCCTAGATTTTTGCGTCAATTACCGTCGCCTGAACAAAATCACTAAGAAGAACGTGTACCCTCTCCCACATACAGCTGGTGCCCTGAACAGCGACTCTACAGCACAAAGCACTTTTCATCAATGAACCTCAAAACCGGCTACTAGCAAATCAAAATGGACGAGAGAGACTAAAAAAAGACTGTCTTCATAACACCAGACGATCTTCAAGTTCAAGGTCATGCCCTTTGGTCTTCGTTTGGTGCCTGCGACATTCCAGCATGTTATGGACACCGTGATGGCTGGATTGAAGTCATAGACTTGCCTTGTACACTTGCACGGCACTGTTGTATTGTCCTTGAGCTTTGAAGAGCATATTCAGTGCCTTGAAGCTGTTCTACAAGCTATCAAGACTTCCAAGTCACCCAAAACCAGAAAAGTGTCACTCTTGTTACTAGGACACGTGATTAGCAAGTCTGGGGTACGTCCCAACCAGCCGAAAACAGCCACCATCGTCGACTTCCTGCCGCCCACCAACAAGAAGGCAGTACATCGATTTCTCGGATTGTGCACCTATTAAATGTGTTTCAAAAAAAGATTCAGTGGAAAACAGCACAGGACAATGCATTTCAGGAACTTAAAAAATGCCTGCAAACATCACGAATACTTGAGCATTTCAACTAATACATTGAAACAGAACTGCACACTGACGAAAGCCGCGTCAGACTCTGCACCGTCCTTGTGTAAAAAACTGATGGCTTAGAAAGGATTATCAATTACATTATCCAAGTCAGAAGATAACCTTTCCATTACATAAAGGCAGTGCCTTGCCATCATTTGGGTTACGTCAAAGTTTCCCCCTATATCTATGACAGGCCCTTCAAAGTTGTGAGCGACCACCACGTCCTGGCTAACTTGAATGACCCTTCAGGACGTCTCGCACGATGGAGCTTAAGACTGCAAGATTTCAACATTACTGCCATTTACAAGTCTGGAAAAAAACACTGACGCCCACTGCCTGTCTTGTGCTCCCATCGACCAGCCGCCACTAGACAAGCACGACGATCACTGGTTCCTGGGAATCATTAGTGCCGACTACTTCACTGATCAACAGCGAGCCAACTTGGAAGTCGGGGGGGCCTCACTGAGTACCTTGAACGCAAGACCATTGTTCTGAAAGCATTCAAGACAGGACTGGCGTCATTCTTCTTATGCAGCAGCATTCTTCAAAAACAAAACCTCGCACCCCTTTGAGCTAAGTACCTTCTGGGTGGTGCTGTCAGCATTGTGACCAGAAGTTCCACAAGGCCAGCACAATGGCCCAACTGCTGGCCACCTCATTTTTTTTCTCCACACGCTTGTGAGGATACAAGTTCTACTGGCCATGCCTTAGCATTGACGTAGCTCATTACAAGGCCAGCGGGACTTCTTCAGCTTATTGAGCTAACTCACCGAGCGTTCCAGCAAGTCAGTGTACACTTACCGGGGTCATTCCCAACGTCAGCTGTGGCAAACAAGTGGATCGTCGTTGCTACTGGATACCTCATCCGCTACACCAAAACAAGAGCCCTGGCTAAAGGGAGCGCTGCTGAGGTAGCAAAGCTCTTCGCTGAGGACATCGTTTGCAGCATCATTGCATTCCAGAGGTGTTCATTACCAACAGAGCCACCATCTTTACAGCAGAGTTCACTCAAGCGACCTTGAGGTAAAGCCATACCGAGCATATCTAAACAAGACCATCGGCAACATGCTGGCCATGTACGTCGACGTTGAGCACAAGACGTGGGATGCAATTATTCCACACATGACCTCCGCTTACAATACGGCCGTCCCAGAAACGATGCACATGACACTGTAGAAGTTTGTCTAAGGAAGGATGCTGGCAACAACGCTGGACACAATGTTACCCAATGTCACCGACAAAGAAAACTTCGATGTGACTGTGTATCTTCAGTCCACCAAAGAAGCCCGACCACTTGCTGACCCACACATCGAAAACCAGCAGACGACCAACAAGCGCCGTTACAATCTTCGACGATGTTTCATGAAGTACCAGACCGGTGACCATGGCTGGTTTCTTAACCCTTTCATGTGGCGGAAGGGTTAAGAAACCCTTTCTTAACCCTTCCGCCACCTTGCGGGTTTTCGTAGAACTCATTTGCAGTACTTGTGTCCATGTGCTTCGAGTTGTCGATGAATTCGCCCTCGTGCTGTCAATTGCTAGCTTCCTGGTTAGCTCAATTGGCAGAGCGACCGCCCTGGATAGGCATTGGTCCTGGGTTCGAACCCTGGACCAAGACCAATTTTTCGGCAACAAAGAGGCTTTCTTTCTGGGACATCTGTATGAATTTCCATGTGGCTTCGTGCTACGAAACGAGTGGTTGTCTTCTTTTCCTTTCTTGACCCTTTGCCACCTTGCGGGTTCCCGCAGAACTCATTTGCTGTAGCTCATTAGGTAGAGCATCAGATGCATTATTCGACAGTCACAGGTTCGGTCCTAGCCAGCACTAAGTCATCTTTTCGTTGACATTTACACCATCCCCTATACTTTCCTTGGCATCATTATTACTTAGTTTTCAATGATGTTGTGTTTAACAAAGATAAACGAGCCCTTAAATTTCCATTTATTTTCTTCAGAAAAAGCTTTTATACTTGCTAGAAATAGGGTGACCTACTTTGCAAACTGAAAGTGAGCATTTTCAAACAATCTGAAGCAGTAAGGTATAGCACCCATCTTATAGACACAAGGTTTAAACCCAGCTGAATTCTCCTTAATTGACGTTGTTGGGGTTTCATGTCACAGAGCTAGCAAAATTCCAAGCGCATGAACAGAGTTGCCAGATGCTACAGACTAACAAGAAATAATCGTCACAAAAGAAGCCCAAATAAAGCAGTGCAAAGAAGTCCAAAAGAAGCAGAAATTTAATAATTTTTTTCTATTTTTGAAAATAGTTTTAAATTTAATGAAGAAATGTCACTCAAACAGGAAAGGGAGCAGAAAAAGTAACTTGTAATTACTTTGTGCAGCAGAAATATGCACAGCTACAGACTAAAGCACATATTTACTATTTACCATTGTTTCCAGGGTATCTCCACTTGGTTAAATGCATGTTTTCCAGCGCAAAGCTAAACACTGCTTGTTGATTCTCCCAATGTAAGTTTGACTTTGACACTCAAATACTCAATGTCATTGACATACACGCTATTGGCGAGCATGATGGTCACCAAGATAACCATACTTGGTGGGAAAATGCAAACAAGTGACTGAAAAATTCTACAAGTGACTCGGCGAAATAAGAAGCCCAAGTCCACTTATTATAAGCAGATCTAGTAACTGCCGATGACTACATAGCACAGTGACAAAGAGGGCAAACTTTGTGGCCCCCTTTTCTCAACAGCCGGAGTTTACATGTTTAATACATCTGGTGCTTCTAAACGAAGCTGTAGTGGAGGTGGCCTATATGTGTGATACATGCATTAAAGGATATCGTCCAGATGAACCACAAACAACCATGGCCTAAGGTACCTGCATGCACCACAAGCTGAGGTGGGGCTACTTGGATGATTCCGTGGAGCCACGATTCATTTCTTCATTCCCCTCCTTGTAGTCGTCATACATGGGGAATCCAGCTGCAAGCACGAAAACCAGTGCAATGGCTAATGGCAGCAAGATCCAATTTGCCTAGACTGTACTGTTCATACCCAAAAATTTACATTAAAAGGATACTGACACAATAATGTTCAATTGTATTTTTTTTCGTCAACTAAAAACTGGAAGGTTGCCACGGCTAAAAGCCACAGCTTGACAAAGACCCTGGTGACTTGTAAAAACACATGGCAGCAGTGAGGAAATTATTCAAGGTACATTACAAACAAGTGCAAAAGCAAACATAAACAATACATGCTAATCATAAATAATCCAACAACTGGCCGCTTAAACGTACCCGCTAATGTACAGGACTGGTCACAATGCAGTCTTCTTTGACCCCTGTTTACTTTACCGATGAACACCATGTATACACATACTGCTTATTGCAGTCCCCCAAGATGAAAGATCAGTTATATTGCGCTTACCAGAAAGTCTTTGTGACAAACGACGTAGCGAATGCGCGTATGGAAGAAGGCACGCTGGCTGCGCAGCTGGGGAGCGAGTGAAGAGGCCATTACAGAGGAGGGGATGCGGAGAGAATGAACGAGGGGCAGAGAAAGGAAAATTAAAAAAGACCGTGGCACGCTCACCGAGGAGGAGGAGGGTGATGGATAAAACCTTTGCACCGGCGCCGGCCTGCCACTACCAGGCTGACACGGCTACAGTGTACTAGCATGTACTAGCGTTTCTAACGTGGCCACGGCCACTTGCTGAGACGTCATGGCACATGTGATCCCGCCATTATCAGCTGTGCTTAACAGTTTCCTGCTGAGAAAAGTGTAATTATCGAGCTATCTACACTGTAAATACAGCAAAACCTTGTTACAGCCAACCTCAGATTGACAGACAGACACAGACTGACAAATAACTTTATTGGGTCCTGAGAAACGCTGCTCCTTTAGAGCAATGTCGCGGGCCACTCCCAGGTAGGAACGGGGAGGCCTAGCCTCACCGCCGCATTGTGGGCTCTCTGGACAGCCCATAGTTGTGGTAGCAACTCTGAACTTCTTAAGGCAGAGTTCCAATTTTCTTCTGTGAGCCGACTTGAGCGCCGTAACGAGGGGCACTGCCAGAGCATATGTGCTAAGTGACTAACCTCACCACAATCAGGACAAGTAGAATAAAAAGCCTCTGAGGAGACTATGCTGAAGAAAAATAGGCTTAGATAGGACCTGGTCTGGAGCATTCTAAACGTGATGGCCTGAGGTCTAGACAACTTGTTGTGTGGAGGAGCAAATGACCGCCTACTTGACTGGTAGTGTTTAGCCACTTCACTGAATGTAAGTAAAGCGTCCCTGAACATCTCACTGCCAACCTGCGGACCTACGTCCTCCCCAGCGCGGAGGGTTAGTGCGCGCCTGGGAGTGAGCAGTGTCATTCGGGCTTACTTGAGAGTCCAGTAGGGGTTCGAGATGTGCAGGAAACTAGGTAATGGTATCTGGAGAAAGTGTCTTATTTACCAGTAATTTAAATACTTCAGTACTGACGGAACCAGAGGCGAAAGCCTTGACCGCTGACCTTGAGTCGGTGAAGATTTTCGATCTACTGTCATCCAAAAGGGCAAGGGCTTCAGCTAACTGAGGGAGTGGAGTCCCTAACTGACGCAGCATTGATAATAGAACCCATATGATTGACAAAAATAACAGAAAACCTCACTGAGCGACCGTACTGAGCGGCATTGACAAAACACACTGAATGAGGATCGTTCTTGATGCTTTTCAGAAGTGTGATAGCCCTAGCCCGGCGCCTTCCTACGTTGAGCTGAGGATGGACGTTTCACAGAAACGGAGAGACCTGAATGACAGTACCCTGTTCATCCGGTAGTTGAAGACTGTGATTCTCTACGAGTGCCGGACTGAGGCCTAGGACGGGCAGAATCTTCCTACCAGCCGGCGTAGACGACAGGTGCATAAGCTCTGCACTCTCTTGGGCTTCAATGATCTCATCTAGGGTATTATGAACTCCTAGCTGCATAAGCCGTTCAGTGCTTGTTCGCAAGGGCATGCCCAACACCCTCTTTACGCTTTTTCTGATCAGAGTTTCCAGCTTCTTTTCGAATCCATACCAAGAGTGCATGGCAGCAACGTACGTTATGTGACTCATGAGGAATTCATAAAAGAGCCTCATTAGATTGTCCTCTCTGAGTCCCTCCCTTCTGTTCGAAACCCTATTAATCAACATGATCATGTTCTCAGTCTTGGTTGAAAGCTTAGCGATGGTTTGTCCGTTGTACACATGCGACTCTATAATCATGCCCAGCACTCTAATAGCGTCCACTCTCGAAATGGGGGCGCCACTCCCGGTGTGAAGTATAATGCCTACCTCTGATAACGGCTTCCAGTTTTTTGGCCTGAGTCCTTTTCTATTTGGCCTGTATAAAAGCAGCTCCGATTTACTTGAGGTGCACCTCAGCCCTGTGCCAGCAAGGAAGAGCTCTGTATGATCGATGGCTTCCTGGAGTGCAGTCTCGACTTCCCCTTCGCTACCTCCGGGACACCATATGGTGATATCATCAGCGGAAAGCGTATGGCTGATGCCCTTCACGCTAGATAGCAGTGTGGACAACTTGCATTTAGCGATGTTAAAGAGAAGCGAAGTTATCACCGCTCCTTGCGGCGTGCCTTTAGGGCCTAGTGCTATGGAAGAAGACTTGAGGTCTCCGATATTGAGCGTGGCCTTCCTGGATTTGAGAAAGGAGCTGACCTATCCGTGGAAGGCTTCGCCAAGCCCAAGCTGCGAAATGGAGTTGAAGATGTGCGCGTGAGAGATTTTGTCAAACGCTTTTTCCAAGTCAAGACCCAGGATGCCTCTTACGTCCCTTGTGTTCAAGTCTATGATTTGATGTTTGAGAAGCTTCATTGTGTCCTGTGCGGACAAAGACGGACGAAATGCAACCATGTTGTAAGGAAGAACACCTTTCTTCTCGATGTACTTGGAGACATGGTTCTAAATGATGTGCTCCGCCACCTTGCCGACACAGGATGTAAGCGATATGGGCCTTAGATTGCCTAAACCTGGAGGTCGCCCCAGCTTGGGAATGAAGACAACCGATGCCATTTTCCAAGAGTCTGGGACAGAATCTTCTCTCCATATGCGATTGATCTCATCGGTAAGAAAATTGATGGATTCGTCTTCCAGGTTCCTGAGGGCCTTGTTCGAGATGCCACCCGCCCCGAAGCCGATCGTCCATTAAGGTTTTGAAGAACTTCCCAAACTTCGCTGGCGGTAAAGGGCTCTCCGAGCTCAGTGCAAGGGGGTCCAGTATAAGACGGATAGTCTGAACAGCTCGAGGGGCTAATGGGTAAATATCTGTGAGCCAAACCATCCAGTATAGCGTCTTCAGAATCAGACCGCTTGGCGGCATGTATGAGTTTAGCAATGGCTTGCCTTTGATTACTTTTGGAATTCGACTCGTGCAAAAGGTGCTTTAGCAAATTCCATTTCCCTCCTATTCTCATTTAGCCATCAACAGAATTGCACACTTCATCCCACTGCTGCCTAGAGAGGGTCTGGCAGTGGTCCTCGATGGTTCGGTTAAGTTCTGCAATTTTCTTGTGGAGCCGACGATTTAGCCTCTGCCCCTTCCACCTATTGAGTAATGATTTCTTGGCCTCTAGGAGGTGCGCAAGGCCGCTGTCCATCCTATCCGTTTACAAATCCGTATGTATCTTTTTTGTCGCCTCACCGTCTTCCTTGAGCTGTTTGGCCCATTTATCCAGACTGGGGGTTGAGTCTACATCTTGTGTGCATTCTTTTCTGATATTCTGGAAGTAATCCCAATCTGTGAAACTGAATTCTCTTATGGGTTTGCCCTTTACACTGATATGGGTAGCTAAGACATTATGGTCACTACCCAGATCCACGTGCAAGTTGTGCCAAGTAGCAGATTCAATATATTTAACAAAGGTAAGATCCGGCGTGGTGTCCCTCGTGCAGAAGTTATACCCCTGTCACACGGGCACTTAAATGTCTTTTAAGTAAGCGGTCTTTTTCCGAAAAGGAGTTCCTGACAGCAGACACACGGCACAGAGCGAACTCCTTTTCAGAAGCGGTCTTTTTCGTAAGCGGTGTTCGTCGATCTCTTTTACGGCTCCGAATGAGTAGCCTCGAAACCAGTGGGCGCCAGCAATTTTCGAGTGGTGGGAAAAAAAGAGCGAATGCTTATTTTTCTGTCACCAAAACTCTTTGTAGAAACAAATTTAATATCCTGCAGAAGGTGTAATGAACTCTTTTAATGGTTATTTCCTTTTCTACTCTCGTAAGCAGCTACAAGGCGTCGGCAATATAACGTGGTGACGCTCGATCTCGCGCCGCGCCATTCTGCACAAGTGAGGAAAGCGTGGCAGTCGTGTGTTTGCCCGTCATTCATGTGGTCCGAGTCCGAGCGTCTATGGCCAACTCCGCAGATCAAGCAGCCGGCGCCCCACGGAAAAGGTAGCGCCTGCAATGGTTGAAAGCAGACACGTTATCCTCTCTTTGGCGGCTTTTGCAGCGTCTTCCTCGCTTTCCAGAGCGACAAGGCAGGCCGTGAGGCTTGCGATCCTCGCTTTTTCTCTCCTACGGTAGCCCATAACGTGTCGAGAGCAGTCGAGAGCAGCGAAAACCAAATACGGTAAATAAAAGCCCAGTGGTGCCAGACGGACTTGTGCATGTCGCTAGTTATGGGAATGCTTCCTTAACTAGTGCAACAAACTTTCCAATGGTGTTTCTTCATCTCTTATTCTTAAATTTATTTGAAGAAACGAGCAGTGCAACAAGTCTTTAATTTGTACATCGTGATACATCGTTTAATTTGCATTGAATCTCTTTTAACTGCTAGCGCCACGCTTTCGCTAGCGTCTTCGAACGAAAACACCAAAAGGAGATCGTTGCTGCCGTGTGTCTGCGCCGCAAACACCTCTTTGTTAAAAGTCTTTCAACTTCGTAAAAGACCGCTTACTTAAAAGACTTTTTGCGCGCCCGTGTGACACAGGTATTACTC